TAATCAGATAAAGTTAATAATGTAAAATTAAAATAATAAATATAGTACTAGTAATAGTTAATCTTATAAATATAACTATAAAATTGTACTATATGAAATTTAAAATTTAATAAACCAACTGGCAGTATTGCCAAAATTCAAAAATTAAATAAGAAAAATATAACAAAACAAAAAAAGTTTTTTAAAAATAAAATCTTTAATATTATAACTAAAAATAGTGATTATTATTATTATTATTATTTTATTATTAAAGCTAATGTTTAATGACAACTAATGTTTTTATTTGTGTTTTTAGTTAATATATTATATATTACTTATACAAAATAAGTATACAACTAGTCACATATGTAACTTTTAGTTACCTATTTAAGTAGTTTATTTAAGAGTTCTACACTAGCTATTATATCTATAATTTATTAGAAGACTATCTAATTAAATAGTTTGGTTTCTATACTGTATCCAAACAATTAGCTATCCTGATTCTTATATATCTAAGTATTATCTAATTCAACATTTTGTCTTTTTTTTATATATCTGTCAAGCTGTTATCTAATTTCAAAGCATATTACCTAATTGTAGAGCTTAAAAAGCTCTCTGTTAACTACTTACCCACTTTATAAAACATTAACAAGACTTACTTTTGCAAAGTTCACCAAACTCTAGCATTTACTCTATAGCATATTTTTAGTACTTTAGTATATTTCTGTTTTTTCTTTAAACTTTCAATTCAGATAGTTCAGTAGGATTATAACCAATCTATTAGTATATTAGGTCAGCCTAATATTCTTTTTTTTCAGTTCTCCTGATTGGAATTTTAGCAGTCTGATTGGTAATATCCTCTATCTAGAGGTTTTGTCTGTCCAGATACTTTACATTAGTATCTGTTTCCTAGATCTAATCTTTATAATAGTATTGTCAAAAATTTGTATTATCTCTTTATTCAGGTTTTTTCAAATAGGCTTCTTGTTCTTCAATTTTTACAGATTTACACAGTCACAAAAACTTATTTTGGGTTTGCATTACCTGATGCCAGTTTGCATTCTTCTGTATAACTAGTTACACAGATGCCTTATGACCTGCCAGTCATGCTGATATGACTATAATTACAGGTATCTTAACCTAATTATTAAGAACAGTTGTTATAATATAAATATTATATAAGTAATTATCCAAATTTTTACCATCTGTGGGTTTTGAACTTACAACCTACCACTTAGAGGGTTAACAACTTATTCACTTTACTAAGTCATCACACCCAACAGTAATTATTTTAAACAACTTTTTTCAAATTTGAAAACAGAATACTGTATTATAAAATCACTTAGATATATTATTTTTCTTAGAATAACTAAAAACTAAAAAAAACTATTAATTTAAACTCTTTAAAAAACTTTAATAAAAATTAATTTAAATAAATTTTTATAATTAAAAAAATATAGTTCTCTTTAATAAAAACTCCATATATAAAATTACAACTAAGTTAAAAGAAAAATTTGCATTAATAAATTATAATATAACCAACTTCTTTTTTTAAAAAAATATAAAAAGACCAAGTAAATTAAATTTTAAAATTCTTATTTATTTCTAATTATATATAATTTAATCTAAACAAACAATCGAAATCTACTATTAATTAAGACCAATAATCTTCAATTCTAATAATAATTTAAAAATTAAAACACTTACTCAAAAAACTCAAACTACAAGAGGAGTTAAAAATACTCTTCAAATATATAAACTTCTTGAATTATGATCAAAACAAATAATTCTACAGTTGCAGTATATAACAGCAATGTATATTATCATATTTTTAATTTTATATAATTTTAAATTAAAATAAAAAATTTGATTAAATAATTGTTAAAATATTTTAATTTAAAAATTTAAAAAAATTTATTAAAAATAATTTGTTTCTTTTATATTAACTCAGCTTTATATAACTATACGATCATTGATCAGTTAATTAAAGGTTTATAATCCGATTAGAACCTATTACGTTATATACTAAGTAAAAATGTTTAGCATTCTAAAAAACTCAAATTACTGCCTTAATTTACCTAAAGTTTAGTTTAACTTTAAAATTTGTGAAAAAATTTTCTATGTATCAACCAAGGATTATTAAAAGCATATCATGGTGAATTTCACCTCCGGTGAATATTAAATATTTTTTTTATTTTTTAGTGTATATTTAAAATAGGTTTAAATTTACCATAACTTCTTGAAATAACCAGTATCTACGCGTTGTTTTGAACATTATAAAATTGTATGCACGTGATAGCCGTGAAGATTCATCATGGTTGTTATAGAGAACGCGTTATCTAACATATTTTTAGAAAGCGCAATTTTCGAAATAATGCACATGCCAGTTATTTTGAGAACTTATAATAAATCGTAAAAAATAATATACTTTGTATTTGGATAATACATTATGTTAGGTCGGTCTTTTGACCTAAAAGAATATCTTAGTATTTTTAAATTATTTTTAAAATTTTAAGAATCTTTGACTGCAATATCACCATGAAATAATGTTTCGAGATGTTATTTTAAGACCCATAATTTAAAGAGCCAAGAATTAATTCTTAGCTTTCTTTAAATTGTGTCTTGAAACAACGCTCCGATAAGCGCAGTAAGTATTTAAAATTTAGAATTAATTTTGTAACTTAACGTTAACTCTAACCAAATTAAAAATAAAGATATAAAATTTAGGTATGTATGTAATTAATTGTATGATATGAGTCAACTAATTGATATATTTGTCGCACTAATCTACGCTATTTTGCCAAGAAATCTGAATGTTGCGAATTACCATATCCAGATATCTTTTCCTTTATGATATAATTTCAATTTTTTTTCATTAGCAGGCCAAGGACCATCATGCTTCGTTTATTTACGACAAGAGAGAGCCAAGAAAGTTAATACCCGATTAAATCAATCAGTGTATCCATTTTACTAAAGTTCTATACTGATTCTATGTTGATTGCTTTTTTTATACTAGATCGTTTAATAAGATTTCTAAAGCCATTAATCAGTCCAATTAAAAAATGAAATAAAATAAATAAAAATAAAACAGTATATACGATACATATTATTTCTCTTAACTTTTATAGTAATTATTAATTCGGATAAGATCTAACCATTATTTAAAGTTTATTAAATATAACACCGATATAAAGATAGAGCAACCTTGGCTGTGTAAGCATCGTACTTTAATATTTACATTTTACAACATTCTATGGATAAAATAAAATGAGTCGTACCTCTTATAAATTCTTTCGTTTTATATAATCGTAATGTTATTATTGTAAAAAAAGAAATCCCGAACAATATCGAAATAAGAGATATAGAAATAGATGAGATTTCATTGTCAATAAATATGGTAAAAATGGATAACCTATCGAATATTGCAAATATATACCGAATATTATTTACCTATTTACATATTGTTCGGGAGTTGCCATTTTAAATCGTGGACAATCAGTAGCCTAAAAAATATCATAATAGGTACGTGTGTAAGAAGGAGACATAAAACGTTAAACCCTTCATTAGCATGCATTTCATTAAACGCTATTTCCCCTTACACATCGAAAAAAAACCTTTTAATCAAAATGTTTAACGTAATGTTGAGGTAATGTAAATGTATTAACTAATGGAGTATTACTGTATATGTATGAAAAGCAAAGTTTTATTTTTCTTCAAAAGGATTAGTTATAAAGATGAGAATGCTAACGGTTGGATTTCTGCCTGCCTAGATGGTCCTATTAGTTATATGTATTGCTTTCACAATGACGAAAAGTTTTTCATGAAATACATATAACAATAGTAAACCCTGACCCGATTAATTACCCGAAAACCGAAAATTTGACAAGGGTAAGAACACCAATTATTATTGTTTGTGTTATTTATAGATTATTGATTTTAAAAAGTATTATTTGCTACCTAATTTATATCAATTTATAAATTAAGGCTACACCTTACTAATTAGAAGTTTCGTGTTCATAATTTTAGGGTGCCTTTTAAATACGTAAATAAAATTTAAGGGTTTTATATGTAATCATTATGATTAAATTTTGGATCGGATTATACATCGAAGCTAATGCAAAATACTCAATATTTCCAAAGTGGTGCTTATTTTGTTTGAACTATTTTCTAAAGATGACCGGACCACAAAAAGGTTTTTAAAATCTTATAATTCATTAGGCTCAATTATAACCTATTTCATATTTTAACCTGTTTTTTAACTTTGAGAAAATAGTTTTAAAAATAGTGTAGAGAATAGTGTAGAGGAAGTGGCGCTTATTTGCGACAGTATATAATAGTCTCTTAGGTGTTTATTAATATCCTAGCAACGAAAATGAAAAAAAAAATTTAAAAAGCCAACAATTTAAAAATAACCTTTTTTTTTACGATAACTAGATAGCATGTATTACAAAAAGCCTATGTTTAATATCGATGTATGCAGTTTATCAGTTTGGTTCCTTTTTTTAATAAACGTAGTAACCGAAGTTTCATTGGAAAAACTTTGTCAAACAAGGATTGTGTTCAAATGTTTTAAGAACTAAGTACGTACGTACATGTACGTATGTACTTGCGTACCCGATTATATAATTCGCTGGTGACTCCGGGACCCAAAAAAAAATGTTGATCCTTGGCCATTGTTGGTCAATAAAAATCACCCTAATTTCGACATTTCTTAACACTTCTCATTTGATGAGTCTTTCAATTTTTTATTTTTATGCTGTGCATAGACTTGTTTTTTTTTTTTTTAATGAATCTTTTTTTTTTTTTTTTTTTATCGTCAACACCATCTCGTCTCTTTTTTGACTAATGAACTAGTGGTGCTTTTTCTTTTTGCTATATTTATTCACTTATCTCAATTTTGCTTTCCATTATTATTGGCTTAAAGACTATTCGAAACCTTCGCTAATATAATTTTGGAGTATCTCTGACTGACAGCTGATAGGCTGCTTCATGTATAATACTCTAAACGATAATTTTCAAATATGTTAATACAGAAAACACCCAAGAAATTTTCTTCATTATTTCAATCCTCGGCTACCATACTCTCTATCTTATTTATCATTTCATCATTATTTCAACAAGTAAATCCACATATAATTTCAGATTCAGATGAATCAATTTCGGATATAAATCAAATGTTAATACGTCGTCAGCCAAAACATCCCAGAAAACGTCCAACTCAGCAAAAAAATATTTGTGAAGCTGAATGTTGGGCTGCTTTATCTGTGATTGGAATTCTTGTATTATTTTGTTTAACTTGTATTATACATGATTATGTGGTACGAAAACGAAGAAGAAGATTGGATGCCATAAGGAAGGCTGCCGAATTAGAAAGCGTAACAATTGCTAATCTATTTTCGGAAAAATCAAATGGCAGAGAGATGTCGAGAGATCAACAAATGAGAAATATTAGGGCTGTAATGAGACAAATGAAACAAAGTCGAAAGTTAGAGGCTAAATGGCCTAAAAAAAAAAGAAAGCAAAGACTTGCTTTACGAAATTATCACTTGGATCCTATTGTGGAAGAAGAAGAAGAAGAAGGAAGTGTAGAATATGAAAGTATAGAAGGTGAAAAAAGCGAAACTTTAGTTGGTGATGAATCGGTTGAGGATACCGCAAGTGAGGATGACCCAAAAACTCCAGACGATCAAATGTTACCTGGATTTGATAAAGGAAAACGAAAGGAAATTATGGATTAATAAAAAAGTATTTAGTGCTTATTTAATGTGGAAATTTTTAATGTGGATTTAATCTATGTATATACCTTTTAATCTATAGATTCTATTCTCAATTTTGTACAAAAAATAATGTCTTTAATAAATTTAATTATTAAGCTATATACTCAATAAATGAAAAATGCTATTGTCATTTAGTAAATCCTAATGACGTATACTCCTCGTAATATGATGTGTGAAAACAATTTTACGTATTCATTGGCAATTCTTTTTTTGTCATATTCATTAGTAATCACGAGTATTTCTTCATTTGTTTTCTTTGCCACACATATAAACTTGCTTTATTAAGCATCTTGTCCGATATTCAAACTCGGTTCAGCCCATGAAACGTTTCACTGCATTTTTGCCAATTCATTTTGTCAGATTAAACCAGATGTATAGGTATACACAATCATTTTAATTAGTCATAACGAGGCGTAATTATTTTTAACTTCGCTACCACTATCGCTATACCCTGCATAATAATGTATGTCTAAAATTCTTTTGTTATTTATATTGCGCACCGTTTGTGATATAGTAATTGAAATAAATATATGTACTTACGTACATTTAAATCTTATTAACAAATCTAATCATAATGATAATAAAAAAGATCGTTAGTGGTACATATGTAGTCGCAATTTAAAACTATGTTGCTCTATGACTTTTTATGACCTATCAGCTAATTATAGGTTATTACCTTATGACTTACTATATAAAGTTGGATATGGCCTACCTAAAATGTCCAATCTGATTTTAGGAGTTACTGTTACACTCTTTTACGTACGATTATCTATCCAATCTAAAAATATTTTGTTTGTAATTAGCAATTCTTTAAATATTAGCCTTAAAAAAAACTAAATATATCATAAATATATTCTTACAAATTATCCTTATAAACTGAACAACTTTGAAAAAAAATTTTTTTGATCCAAAGTTGAAAATTTTGGGAAAGCCTACCTATTTTAATGTCGATGATACTGAAATCGATGTCCGCATATACTCTTTTTATTATAAACTTTCTCACCCTAAATCCTAACCTTAAATTTCAGCATCATACCCAAAATTTAATATATATATATATATTAAATTTTGGGTATGATACTTGAATTAAAGATTGGAACCATTTAACCGTTTAATAATAGTTCCATAGTTCCATACAAAATTAAAATTGATTGTGGGACAGAATTATTTTTAATGCTGACCGAATTAAACAGTTAACATAGTTAAACAGTTAAATTATTAGAAAAATTTTAGTCGGTTCCAATCTTGTTATTAAAATATAGAATTAGGATAAGGATAGAAGTTCATATCGATACTGGCTAATAAATAAAGGGAACCTATCAGTTATAATTCCGGTCAAATTTGTTAGTCATTTGATCAATTTTTAAATTATGCATTTTACTCGAGATATGGTCAGACGACCGGAATTATAACTGATGGGTTCTTTATTTATTAAAACTGTGCAGATCCAATATCGACGTGTAATGCTAAAAGTTAATCGGATACGCTTTTCGATTATCATTCGACGTATCAGTGTTAGTAGGTATCATTAATTAAATTGTTACTATAAATTTACGCTCTTGACTATTAGTGATACTAGAATTTTTGAAGGTTAAGAAATTAAAAAGAAGTTTGTTTGAATATTAAGCATTTTGGCTTAGAGATTGGAAATTCGAAAATCGAATTTAAATCGGGTTGCTTGTACGTAATATATTTTTTCATAATGAATAAACCGACAATTTTTCTCGTACATCAATTCGCAATTGGAAAATGCATACCAGGTTGGTGGAGCAGTAAAATTTCTTAAAATTCTTTGAGGTTAGGATTAAGGTCAGGGTTGAGAGTCAGAGAGAGTAACTTACATAGTAAAATTATCCAACGAAAACTTTCTGATAGAGCACAAAAGGTGGTTTCTTATGCTAATTTTGAGTTATGAACGATTTTTAGTAAAACGAACGTTTGTTTTGAATCTTCTTGTTCGTGTTACGTTATACAGAGTCTTGAAATCTGATTCGCAGATCAGGAAAACTACGTCACCACATTTTCCGATCGGTTCGCGTAACATCATTCGATTCGGCCAATAAAGTTATATTAATATTATATTTTAAGATGAGACTTGTTAATGCCACCTTTTATTTTTGTTAATCCACCTCTTTACATAATCTAACCCTAATTAACAATTAGGGCCAGCAAGGTCAGAGTAAATATTTTATATAAAGAAGGTGGCATTATTATTTTTATTTTTTTAAAAAAAAGCAAGGTCTTGTTTTAGTTTTCTTTATTGAAATTTATATATAAGTACATTACATGGTATATTATAGTATATATTTTATTTATAAAAAATTAAAGTTAGAGTTAATTTACTCTTAACCTAAACTTTGCCAAAAGAGGTCAAAAGCCCTGCTTAGTTCTGGATTATTGTTATAGAATTGGTGATCTGTTGTAATTTTTGAAGTTTTCTATTTAAAAGTTAATTCTTTTTTTAACTTGTGGGTTTTTGTAGTTAATAATTATACAGATATGAGCATTGGTATTATTTGGAATTGTTTTAATAGGTTGATTTGATTTGCTGATTTTGGAAATATTTGAAAATTGTTAAAAAGAAGGTAATATTAGTAAATATAAAAAGTAATATTAACAAATTTACAAATTTTTTTAAGAATTATTATGTAGATGTTAAATAAATTGTTTTTATTAAGTTTTTTTTGTAAATTTTAATTTAAAATACCTCAATAACTATTAAATCAAACTTGATAAATTTTTTTATTTTAATTTTATAATTATATAAAATTAAAATAAAATTTAAAAATATAATGAAATGTAAAAACTTTGTAAAGTGGATAAGTTGTTAACTTCCAAGTATAGATTAAGTGTTCAAAACTCATTAATAGTGAAAATGTGAATAATCATCTATGTAATACTTATATTATATTAATTGTTTTTAATAATTGAATTAAAATATTTGTAATAATGGTGTATTAACATTATTAGCAGATTATAAGACATTTGTATAACTGGTTTTATAGAAAAATGCAAACTAGCATCAAATAATACAAACTCTAAACATTATTATCAAACTCTTTTCACTAATCTATATTTTATAAAAAAGCAAAATCAAAATTATAAAGAAAAGTGAAAAACTAAAATAAGAATGATATTTTGGATAACTAAGAAATAATTTTAAGAAGAAATAAAAAAATAAACTTAATTAGATTAACAACTTGAAAAAACAAAAAATATTAGAAAATTTTAGATTCTTGTAAAATTAAAATAAAATTTTTTGAAAAATTTGAGAATTTGATTTATATTTTAAATAATAATAAATAGATATGTAATATATATCAACAATCATTAATAAACAACGTATATAAAGTAAACATGTTCTATTTAGAAAATATAAACATATTAATAAAATCAACAAACAAACAAACTATAAGAGATTCTAAAATTAGTAAACATCAATAAAATAGTTTAGAAACAGATATACAATTTATAATAGAAATGTCTCATGATCAATTTTTAATTCAACATATATAAGAAACAGGTAATATAGTTCATAGATATTAAATAGTTGTAAGTTGGATAAACTACTAAGAACAATTATATACAAAAACCCAAGTAACATCAAAATTATAGCTAAAGAATTAGTAATTAATAATCCAAAAAATATTATAACAAAAGATTTAATATTATATAGTTAAATACTTAAAGCTTTTAAAGTTAAAACAGAAGTAATAATAATTCTACTAAAAAAGGTTATTAAAGATTGGGCTAACAAAATAAGAATAACAAATCTTAACCCAGTATTAGTTGAATATACAGTAGATATGAGTAAGAAAGAAATATAAAAAAAAGAAAGAAAAATAAAAAAAATGAAAAAAAATTATAATAAAAAAAAAAATCTTAACAATAATATATTTACAAAAAAAAGATGTCAAGCAATTAATAATGAAATGAAATTGAGTACAGATATTAAAGTCATAACAGATTAAATTAAAAAACTTAATATAAACAGCAAACCAAGAAACAGAAATGAACTATTTTATAGAAATAAGAATAAAAATAGAAAAAGAAAAGGTTAATAAAAACATACTAGTAAAATCAACAAAAACTAAACAAATAGAATTAAAAGATCTTATATCATTGCCTACTTTCTTTTCTTCCTCCTCTTTCTTCTCCTCTTCAACCTTAATAGAATACAGTGATTAGTCTTCTAGATACAAAACATATACAGAAAACAAGTTCTTCAAGGGCAATTTTCTCACTTATATACTATCTAAAGAAACAAAAAAAGAAAAAATCAAATATGTTTGATGAATTCTAGAAAAAAATAAACATATAAGAACAATCAAAAAAGCTTTCAAAAAAGGAAATAATTAGATTGAAGTTGATTTTGATTGTAAACATAGTAAAGATGAAGCAATTAAAAGAATTAGTAGGAAAAAAGAAAAATGGCTTAAGCTCATTTCAGAGGAGACAAGAAATAAAAGTAAAGAAAAGAACCAAGTTAAGCAGTTGAACTTTAAAGGAAAGCAACCTAAAAATAAATTTGATAAAGAAAAAGAAGATAATGAAAATCTCTGTTAAAAAAAAATTAGAAGAAACTTACACTAATTATCTAATTATCTGAGACCTATTAGCAAATATAAATAAAACAAAATTAGATTTTATTTGCAAAAAAATCAGAAAGGCCCATATAGTTAGAATCAAAAGATTGAAGTACAAAGCATTGGCAGTAATCAAAACAGATAAATATAAAGATAAAAACATATCTTGGTCATTACCAATAGATGATAATAAACTAGTAAGAGTAATGAAAGGTAATGAAGATTATAAAGAAAGAAATTAACAAAGTCAATTTATAGCAAAGTTAACAGAACTTTCTGAAAGTGCATTAGAAGTACTCTTGCTATGATGTCTAAAAAGTAAGGATACAAAGTTTGTTTATATTATATCAAACAAAAATAGAAATCAAAGAAGAA